GCTGAGAGTTTGAGGCCAGCCTGGGCTACATAGTGAGTTCAAGGACAGCTTGAACTGGACTACATAGTGAGACTCTGTCTCAAAACAAAACAAAACAAAACAAATGATCATATTCTAGCTAGAACAGGTGGTACATACCTGTAATCATAGCACTCTTGGGAGGCTGAGGCAAGAGGATCCCAAATTGGACTTCCACCTTGGCAACTTAGCAAGACCCTAACTAAATAAATGGGCGGGGGATGTAGCTCAGTGTAAAGACCTTGGGTTCTGCCCCCAGTATTTGGAAGGGGCCTTATCACATTACCTAAGGAAACTATTTGGTTTCAGCATTCATCAGTGAGTAGAAACAGACTTCAATGGAAATGAAACCAAGATTCACTCAGTATTTTAACCTCCATTTGATGTTTATTATTGCTAATTATTAGGTTCAATCCTCTTTCCTAGCAAGAGAGCAAGACCCTCAAGAGTAAACACCATCTATTAGGTCCTTAAGCCTCTAGAGGTATCATGAGTACCTTACTTACACAGGAGCTGACTTCACTGTTACTGTTTTGTCCTCAAAGGGCTGAGCAAGCCGCTGTTACCCATCTTCACCACTGTGGACTGAGAGCCTGCCACGTACCAGTGGGACTGACCACAGCAGTGCCCTCGACAGTCCTACACCAGAGCCCAGACCATCTGACCAACACTGACTAGAAGAAATCCTGCTTTTCTTTATATTCACCTGTGGCTTATATTCTATTTTCTACATGGCTCTAAGTGGCTTATATTCTATTTTCTACACAACAGGGAAATATCCAGAGCACAACTGTTCTAAGAGAGCAATATGTATGACAAACAGGCATTTAGGAAGAGACTTTAAAAATGAGAAATCACTGTAAACTGCTGTTTAGCTGCAAATGGCAATGGTGAAAATAACTCTACTGCTAATGTTAACATAAATGATTTGGCATGGGTACTGGGCCTAACTTACGGGGTGGACAGAATTATACTTCTAGATAAAAGCCAACTGACAAGCTGACCACCAAGTCTTGCCACCCACATAAACACAGAACTCAAAGCCAGTAAACCATTAACACTCCCTAGTACTAACTAAAGACCCTTAAAACAAAGAATAATTGCTGTTACTCTCTCCCTATTAAAAAAAATCAGACCAAAGTAGATCTTACCCATGGCTCTATTACTCTGGTTGGCTACCTGATGGCTCTATTTCAATCTCATCTTTCCCAGTAGGTTCCATGTCCAGCTGAAAACTTTAAGAGACACAAACAACTCAAAACAACAGAGCTCAAACGTCCACTTGCTAACCCTGAGACCAAAGACAAATTCCAAATGGACCACCAACTCTAAGGATATTTTCTAGGGCTCAGGGCAGCTATGTGGACTCAGAATTTACAGACTTTAAATGACTCGCAACCCTTCCCTTCAGGGTTACCTACATATGCCACTCTGTAGTATTTTCATTGTGGCCCTAGTATGACATAATGCCAAGATTAATGGCTCTACCTTGGGGAAGCTCTGAAGATAATGAATAGATTAAGGTTTCTTTAAAATATCCTTACATTGTCTGTGGTGTGGTGGAAAGATGGAACTTGGCAGCTACAGCCCCAAGTTCTAGTGCACTTTGCTACAGACTGGGCCATGATCTTGTGCTGCTTCCTTATCTCTAATAATTCCATCATCAGGAGCAGCAGCAGCGATTATCCAAATATACTATAGTATACTTCACAGACCTGCTGTGTGGATTTCACTTTACACTGCAATACAGACATTAGGTGCAAAAAGTGAGTGTTCTTTCTAATATTTATATTAGAACTATAGCAAACAAATAAGAGTTTGGATCTCACATTCAAAGTTTCTAGCCAAGCATGGTGGCACACGCCTGTAATCCCAGCACTCGGAAGGCTGAGGCAGGAGGATCGCCTTGAGTTCAGGCCAGCCTGGGCTACAAAGGGAAACCCTGCCTCAAAAAAAAAAGTTTCTTGCTTTTGTTTTTCTTAGTTAGGATCCTCTACCCTTGGTTAAGATCCAATTCAATCAATATTGACTTCTCTTTAAAAAACAAAGAGGCTTAGGACACGTATGATCCAACCTGGAACACAGAGATGCTCAAATCAAAAGAGATTGGAACATGAATGAAAGAAAAGATTCAATCAAAGGCTTTCCCTTCAAGAATCTGAGCTAAGCTCCCTAAAACTCACATGGTAAAATAATCATTTCCTAACTGTTTACAAAATGTCCCCACCTTAATTAGTGCAATCCAGATCAAGAATGAGTCAATTTCCTTTGGTTCACACACCACATTTTTAAAAAACTGCAACATGTAGCTATAACGCAAGCCTGAGAGACTAAGGCTTCCTTTACACTCACTTCACTTGTGAAACTGCTGGCAGAGAATGATGAAGGGGTCAGGCTCAACCAAAGCTAACGGCATATAGAACGGGGCTCTGAAATTACAATGGCATTTAAAAAATTCTCAGACTGGGGCTTTGCTAATTGGCTCCATCAAATCTAGTTCCCCTGGATAGAAAGTGTGACCTGACAGTATCTCCTGCTCTCATCCCCTCATTCCTTCAGCTACTCTGGCCTCCACATTTCCTCACTGGCCCAGGAAGATTCCCAGTCCCTGCCTCAGGTATGCTATTCCACTTGCTTTCCCCTGCCTGAGTCACTTATCACTATTCTTTGCTTCGCTTCCTTTGACTTTGCTCAAATGCCACCTTGCCAGTGCGACTTTTCCTGTATGCCCTAACTAAAAACTGGAACCCTTCCTTCTTAGTTTAATTTTCCTTCATAGCTCTTATCTGACACAGTATGTGAATATATATTTTTTCTTAAAAAATTTTTTTTTTCTTCTTTTGCAGTACTGGGGATTGAACCCAGGGCCTTTACACTGTGCTACATCCCCAGCACTTTTTTTATTTTTTAAGACAACATTTCTCTAGGTTGTTTAGGCGAGGCTCCATACCGTAAACCTCCAACCTCAGCCACACAGTCGTGTGTGCTGTCACGCCTGGCTATATTTTCATCGCCTCATTTTCTATCACCTCCTCATCAGAATAAGAGACAACCCCCCCACCCCGTATGCCCAGTATCTAGGACAGTGCCGAGCATGTAACAGACCTCAGGAATCATTATGGACTAAGTGAGAAGACCACAACAAATGAAACTATTCCATTTGTAAGGCTACCAAATTCAAGCCTTCAGCTTTCTCTTTTTTTTTTGGTACCGGGGATTGAACTTGGGTCCTTATGCTTGTGGAGCAGGCAGCAGAACCACTGTGCTAAATCCCTGGCCCTGCCTTCAGCTTTCTTAAAGGAAAACAACAGGATTTAGGATAATGAGATTACAAATACTTAAGGATGAATGTTATGGCAATGTAAAATAGGCTAGATCAGGAAGAATAGTTGTGGCCTGTGACCTAACTCTTTCACAGTGTTTTCAAACTTAAGAATGCCCGACTGTTGGTCATAGGTGCCCAGCTTGTCTCCAGGAAGGTGGTCTGGCAGTCATTCTAATGTAGGTGGTCCACAGCAACCCCCCAAGACCACTGCTGTGGCACCACTCCTGATTAGATGTGGGATCAGGAGATGGCAGCTGCTGTCTGTGTAGCTCATGGAAGTGACATTAACTGATATCACGGTACAGGCATAAGCACTGATTGTTGATAGCTCAGATAAGCACAAGACAACCTTTTGCACATGTGTACTATGACTAAAAGGGTGAGTCTCCCCAGCCATAAAAATTTCTTGTGGTATTTGCATGTTACTCCAGGTAAGTACTTTAGTTCAAGACCATTAAATCAAATACTACGCATTAGCTTTTTTCATAAACGTCAGACCTACCCCATTCTTTAGTCACATGTAAAGCCACACCTTAAAGTACAAAGCACATGACTTACCAAAATATAAACAAAATAAATCATAATGTTTCCAAATTTGATTTTGGATAAATAAACCCAGGACCCCTACCAGAGTTAAATCAGAGGAGCCACTCAAAAGTACACCTATGTCAAATACTGTTCCTAAAAAAATAGCTCTTTCTTTTCATTCTCTATTTTTAAAAATTATTATAATTCTGTGTGTGCTTCTGGAGAGCAAACCCGGGGTTTGCATGTGCTAAGCAGACACTCTACTACTGCGCTCCCTCCAGCCCAAAAAAGCTGTTTTGTTAAACACCGGGTCACTGACCCTCAAAAAAATATATCATTTCTTCCCAGTTTGCCACTTAGTTCACTGAAAGGTTATAGAGTAGCCAGCTACACAGTGTCAAGGATGGAACTGTGCAAACAGATGTTTTCCCCAAATTTCAAGGAATGAGCCTAACTCACAAGCTTTCATTCAGTTTTTTAACTCAGTTTTTTGAATGTGGAAACAGCTGGCACCCACGCCCCGGGGAAAATGCTAGTGAAGGCTACCAGTGCAGAGGTGAGGGAGAGGGAGTGATTATTTTTTTCCTTCTACTTTTATGAATGTTGTCTCTTTACTCAAATATTTTGTTCCAATGCTTGAAGTGCTCTTTACACATCTTGGAAAGAATGGCTAGAGCTGGAAAGTGACGCCCAGATGGGTTTACAGACATACCTGGAAGCCTTTATTTACAGTCAGTACTGAACTCTGGACTGTATACAAGAAATTCTTATGGTGATCTAGGGAATCACTGACTTTGGGAATTTTCAGTGAGATGCCAAACTAACTATGGGCTATGCTCTATACTACAGTGTATAGTTATAACAATGTCTTAATATACTCCGTATAGCAATTTTGAAACAACTCTCCTACCAATGTCTTACAAAGAGCTACATTACATCTGACATATTTTTGCCAAGGATAAATAAAAGTAAATAAGCTGTGTGATGATTCCAGAGAATCAAAAAATAACGGAATCATTCCATCTGAATACCCCTGACTGTATTTCTTTCCTGACAGGTGAATGTCCTGCTAAGCTCCATAACAAGTTCAAAGCCAGTAGTGGCCAAGTGGCTTCCTCCATAAACTCACCTTCTCTCCTTGGAGTGATGGGACTGAGTCTCGCAAACTGTGAAAGCTGTCTTTGATGTGGTCCCTACGTTTTCGTTCCAGTGCATTATGATGAGCCCGTTTGTCAGCCTAGAAGAAAGGGAGAAAGTGTATATTAGGAATGTCACTCCTTTGGCTTGGTCCAAGGTGGGTGGAGTATAGCCTGGAAGGACGTGGTGTCAGCGCTGTCCCTGCTGAGCAGACTGGAAAGACTGTCCAGGTGGGAGTCTCCAGAATTAGGCTCTGCTAAAGGGGGAGAAAGGGGTGAGCAAGGCTTGCGACAGGAATACCCGAAGTAGCTCGATGCATCTAGCTCATGCATAAGTAAAATCAAAAGTTATTCATAGGCACAAAGCATGACCCTCCTGTAACATCAGTGTCCCCAACTTAATTATGTAACAGCTGCCAGTCCGTGGTTGGGAATTGATTAGAAAAAGCTCCACTGAGCCTCTTCCTAAGATGTGATCACCCTCACTGTAAGAGACTGGGAGGAGCAGGAGGGGTGAGTCACTAGTGCAATGCTTCTCTCCATGTAAAAGCCACTGGTGATGTACTCTTTTCTCCAAGCCTGCTAAGAGGCACTAATTTCATCCTCTCATCAAATCATTTAAGAGAAACTGAAACCTCTGGAAAACCTGGTTGCATGAATCTGAGATCATTATGACAGTTCTAACAGAGATGCCAACTGCATTACGAGTTTCTGTTTTTTAAAGCAGATCCAAGATGCTACCCTCCAAATGGCTTTCCCTCACACAGGCTGAGCGAGAAAGGCACTTCTTAGATGGCAGGCCTTCTGACAACCACACAACCTTCTGACTATATTCCCTCAGGTACTGCTGCATACCAGGCTAATTTGGCAGTTTTTAAAATACCATAAATAAATAAATAAATAAATAAATACCCAAAGCAAAAGTCTTTAGCCTATTAGAATCATAAAGAACAGCCAGCTGAAGAGGGTGAAGACTGCCAACAAATCAGGAATGGCACAGCAGCACTTCCAGTCAAAGACGGTGCTGGGCAGTGCCACAAGGAAGCTTCTGCAGTTCACATTAAAAGGACATCTCTAAATTCAACACAAACCCAAAGGAAGAACTTCACCACACTTACACTCTGGAAAGTAGAGAAAATAAACTGAGAATTTATCTTAAATACATACACCAGGCTGCAGTGAACTAGCCTGAAGAGTAAGTCTGTATATGACAAAGCAAAGTGGCTTTAATCAATCCTCCCAGACATCACACCAGGAATCTTAAAAAGATGAAGCAAATGAGAGCAAATAGCTTGGTTTAGCACAAGACTAACACTGCCTCCAATGAATCCTTGTACTAGACAAGTTATACAGACAAAAATCTAAAAACACAAGAGAATGAGACAATTTGAAATTCCCATATCTAATCCTAAAGTCCAAGTCATTCCAGAGGAAGAGCAGGCTAGAAACAGCTGTATCATTCTAGTCACTTCCTGGTCTTCAAGTACACACCTCATCTACAGCTTTGCTAAGTGGGCACACGATTCCCATCATGGCCATGGTACTCCAGAACATGTCACTCTTTTGGGAACAGAAGCTAGGATACCTCTAAAGCTGTCCCATCTCAAGTCAAATTCAGTGTACAATGATTATTTTCTGAACTATCTTGATGATGTAATAATACGGGGAAATAGGGCTGGAGAGGTGTCAAGCTTGGAACCTGAAGATAACACATTCCTGCCCAATTTGAACCACTTTATACATGGTTACATGCTTGACTGTCCCATCAGCAGCTTGTACCACTGGTGGTACAAATGGATCTAATCACCTCTATTGGTCTTGTTACTAATACAATTAATAAAAAGACACCCAATGGGATAGTCATTCATGTAGTACCAGTGATTCAAGCCATCTGGCTTGAGACATACTGATTACAGCCCCATCATAAACTTGTTGAAGGTAACATTACAACATACAGCAAAAAAACTGTACATGTCTTCTAATAGCAGTATGAAATAGCTTTAAGAAGCTAAACATATTTTAAGTGCTTACTCTTTTCTAACTTACAGCTCCATGCTGTCATCTATATAAACATAAGTAGGGCTGGGACTATACCTAAGGAGCTTAGAAGGCTAAAGGCTGACACTTGGCCTGTATCTGTCTCTCCAGTGTCTGCTATATACTTTCTAAAACTGTCTATTTACATGCAAATTAATCATCCAACTTTGGTCTCCAGCAGCAGTCCATGATACTCCTATCCACTAAATCACCCTGATTCCTGGCTCTCCTCCCAGCTTAAGAGCTGTGCACAGAAGCAGTGACACCAGAGTTAACCACAATCCTTCCCGATAATACAGATAAAATTCTTTTTTTTTTAATCTAGGAGAGCCCCACAAATCTCAAATGGCTAGAATCAAGTTGGACTTGGTTTCACGTGGTCCTGCCCTACAGGCATGGAGCTAAGCACAATCTGACACCAAAACATGCCCACAATGCACCAGCCCCCTCCCATTCACTGAGTCCTGAAGGGACTAAACGGGTAAGTCTTTTGGTTAGAGGATTGTAAGTGAACTTGGCTGGAGACCATCAGCAGAAATCTTAGCTTCTCATCTGGGGAGCAGCCAAGTTTGAGAAGTTGGCTCAAGAAGGAAAGGCAGCAGTCCACTGCCTGGTGGAAAACCTGGGCTGGGACTGTCAGTCTCAAAATAGTGGATGGAATTTCTGTGGTAGTTCCAGGCCCAATTTAACTAGCAGAAGAGTGGACTCTTAGGCCAATCCCTGTTGCCATGTCCACCTGAGCTTACACCTAACTGGAGTCCATTTTAATGCCCCCTGAAACAATGGCAAGGATGCCTTTCTTCTGGTTCTCAAGCTGCATCTGTAAGAACAAGTCAAAAACATGCAGAACATGACTTAACTCCAGGTAACTCTGAATTAAATTATATTGCTAGTGGCTTGAACAAGCACACAAAAAAATGGAAAACCCTTTAACAAGTCTAAGTATTCTCTTTGGGGAATTATCTTCAAACCACAGATCAGGCCAGTCTGATACCTCCTACTTCCAACAACCAGAGGCCTGGTTGGCAGGCTTGTCACTACCCTATTCACCACCTTCTCTCACTGGCAACCCTTTACCAAAACACCGAGTGATCTAAGGTGAGAAAAACTGGGTAGAGACAACTATATAAAATATCTAAGGTCCTCCCACAAACTCAAAACTTTTTTTAGAGTCAAAATAATTGGATCTTGAACAACTAAAACTCAAATAAGCAAGCTTTCTCTTACCTGTACTGGGATATCTGATAATGAACACGAAGGTACCCAAAGCATGCTTGTTAAATTTATTAGGCATAGTTCTAGGAGATAACAGGGGTCTTCTTGGGCTATTCAGCAGGCCCAAGTGGCTCCCCTACAAGTCCTCTAGGAACAGTGGCTAGAGGCTGCTTGTTCTTCAAGTACAATGAATTTGAAGTTTCTGCCAGAAACCCTTGTCAGTGGTGGTGAATCTATGGCATGCCCCACCTACCCCTGCAAAGGACTGTTTATTTCACTGAAAGCTCTGAAAGGTTCCACATCACTGCTTTAGGGCATCCCAGAATAACAGAAATACTAAGGAGCTAGTTGGTATGGTGTTGCATGCCCGTGGCTGAGGCAAGAGGATTGCCAGGAGTTCGAAGGAAGCCTGGGCTCCATAGTGAGTTCAAGGCAAACCTGGACTACAAAGCAAGACCCATCACAAAAACAAAACAAAACCAAACCCAACCAAACAAACCAGAAATACTAAGGAGCTATGTGATACCAAAGAGTGGCCTATCGACACTCACCAGAACTACAGCACCAAATGGCTTCCAGCTTTGATATCTCTGCCAAGTTTTTTTTCACTTGGCCTATTTCTACCAAACATTCCATACTGGCAGCAAAATAAAAATCTTCACTTACAATTTGTCCATCTCTGACACTCACAAGTATGTGTACCTTGAGTGTGGCTACATGAAGGCAAATATTATTTTGTTGTCCAGTAAGTTATTAAACTGGCAGTAGGCCACTGAAGTTAGAGTTCTGTTCAGAACCAAAGGCAATCTCTTAAAATTATTTCCTTTCAAACTCATTGAACAGAAAAATGCACCTTTGTTGAAGGCATTACATGTCACCTGACTTTTCTGCAAATTGTGGGTAAACGGCATGGGGAAATAAAATGCTTCATTATTCAATGATGCCCATGGTTGCAAGGTATTAATCCCTCCTAAATGGGGAAGCTCCTCAATTTCAATATGGAAAATCCTCAGCATACAGGAACTTGTGTTGCCCACTATTTACTGCCCTTACAAAATTTAATGGTTATGCTGGGTCTGGTGGTACACGCCTATAATCCCAACTACTACGCAGTCTGAGGCAGGAGGATGGTGCAAGTTTAAGGCCAGCCAGAATCACATAGTGAGACCCTGTCTCAAAAGACCAAAAAAAGAGGGTGTCGGCCAGGGATTTAGCTAAGTGGCGCCCCCATCTGCCCTGCAAGCTCAAGGTCCTGAGTTCAATCCCCATTATGGGGGAAAAAAAAAAATGAGTGTGTCTAACATGTGCAAAGCCCTCGGGTTCAATCCCGACACGGGACCAAAAAAAAAACCAAAAAGTTTGCCTTTAAGAGGGAAGATGCTGTAGTGTGTCGCTTATTATTAAGCTACTCTTAGTAAACACTAAAGGCACCAAAAATACAAAGCCTCAAAATCCTATCTGAAAATATCTATTCTTTCTGATAGATAAGAACCAGATAGAGTAAAGAAAAGTGAATCTGTAAGCAACTTAAAATATTCACTTTAATTCACGTGAAATAATGGCCAACTGGGACGAGACTACTCCATAAGATCCCTAACAGGAAGACAACAATTTCAATTTCCCAACATCTCTCCTGCTTGAAGCACATAGCCTGGTATGTAATTCTGTCACCTAATGAATACGTTTGTTTCTGGGGCTTTTCCTATCTTTCAGTGCCAAGAACAACTTGGGAAGGAACATTAATATCTAAATATGACATCATATTATAGCCACTTAAAAGGAAGGGTAACTTGGTCAGGAAATTTAACCTGAAAAGCAAATTAGCTTCATTGATCAACTCTTTCACCACTACTAGCACCTTGATAAAGACTTTTAAACATAAAAACACCTTTTACTCAAACAAGCATGCTCAGAAACTAACCCTGAAATTTCTGTCATCACTGTCAACACTAAGCAGAGACCAAGTTCATGCATTTGCCAGGCAACTGATTCCAGGTAAAATAGACAATAATTTTCTGAGTACAGTAAATTCTAATCTCAGAGACAAACAAACTCATTCCTTTCTGAATACACTGCCATTTCTGAAAAAACAAAGAGCCCAGAAAGGTCCCGAAGTGAACTTCACAAATTTGTTTCCCCACCCCTAACTGGTGCTCTGTAACGGCACCATTTTCAGCTGACATGAAGGACCACAGAGAAGGCCGTGGATTTCCTGATTAGCACGCTAATCCCTCATTTCTCATAGGCTTTTACTCTTTCCCCCAAAAAGCAAGCAAAAGGAACTTCTTGTACAAAATATACCTGTCCCAGAAATTTATCGTTAAAATTCAATCTTTTCTCTCCAAAAATAGTAAACATAAGCTAACATCAGTAGGATTCTGGGATGTACTGAATAGTTCAGGGTTTCCTCCTTTACTAAAGCTCACTAGTTACTGAAGAAGCTGTTTTCCATTTGTACTGGGGAAACAGAAACATTCGTCAAATCAGTTTCACTTTCTGTTAACGGCTAACTTCACTTTTCAACTCTGTTTCTGCTGAGTATATTGCATTTTTAATGGAGTACGGTCTACATATTGTAGTGACATTATAAAACATGAATGAATGTCTCTCTTCTTATAGGACTCACATTTCCCAAATAACTTTTAAAAAGTTCTTCTGTAGTCCTAAATATCTGGCTGTTCATTCCCCGCATCTTTTTCTCCTGAATGCTTTTACCTTAAGCAAAACAAGATGAGTTTCCCCTCAAAATTTAAAAGATGTCAGGTGTGGTGGTGCACACCTATAATTCCAGCACTCTGGGAGGTGGAGGCAGCAGGATCACAAGTTTGAGCCCAGCCTGGGCAATTGAGAGACTTAGTAAGACCTGTATCAAAAAAAAAAAAAAGCTGGGATACAGCTCAGTGTCAAGATCATAGGTTTAATTCCAGTATTAAGATGGGGGAAAAATGTGTGTGTATATATATATGTATATATATATTTTTTCTATACTAAATCTCAGAAAAAAAATTGGAATCCTTTTTACCCTATCCATTCATAATAATTGCTTGATATACTGTAAAATTTGTCTATAACACATCCACTTTTCCTCTCCATACTTCTATGATAATCTGGTGACAGAAATTAAGTCTTTTTTTTCTTTCAGAAATTAAGTCTTAACAAGGAGATGTATCAAAAAGTCTTGAGGCCCTAAATTCAATCCCTAGAATAAAAAACAAAACAAAATAACAGTCAAACCTTTCCTTGTCTACTTCCCAAAATAAAAGGAAAAAAATCTTACGTGCCTTTACAGCAAACTAAAACCACCTAGACAAGATTAGTATTCTAGAAGAGTGAAAATATTTTAATAATTTAGTAAATGAATTTATATCAAACCCATGTGGATGAAAAAATATATATATATTTTGTTGTTTTTGCCACAGTCTTGCTATGTAGTGCAGGTGGCAATCCTCCTGCCTCAGCCTTCCAAGCACTGGAAGTACAGGTATGTGTCACCACACGCGGATCTCTGGATGAGTATTTTGAAAGGCAGAAAGCTTTCAAGAACTATGAGCTAAAACTTCTCTCTCCTTGGAAAGTCAATATAATTCCAATGGAAAGAAATGACTCTGGCTTGTGGAGGTTCACCCTTATAATCCCAGCACTCAGAGAAGCTGAAGAAGGAGGTTAACAAGTTCAAGCCAAGTGCCTGGGCAACTCAATGAGACCCTGTCTCAAAAAGGAATAGTTCTACAAAGAAAAGTCTTAGCAATCTTTACCCTAATCAAACCTAGGAGAGGGGAGCAAATTTTACAACTGGATGCCTGGAGCAAAAAAATAAAAAAATAAAAAAATAAATAAATAAATAAATAAATAAAAAATAGAGTGGGCCCCAAACATTAAGAATAATAGTAAAAGAAACAAAGGACTGCAATTTTCAAATATATACATAACTATGAAGTATGTGACAATACTTCAGAAAGAAATGAAGCAAAACAAATTATTTTTTAGTAACTATTGCCAAAAGACAATCTCTAAAATCTTGGAGCAACTACATCCTTGGACTTTACAGAAATATCAGCTCTCGGACTGGGGATTTAGCTCAGTGGTTCCGCCGCCTGCCTCGAAAGCACAAGGTCCCGAGTTCAATCCCCAGTACCAGAAAAAAAGAAGTATCAGCTCTCAATAAATAAAATTTTCCTTAATGCCTATTTGCTTGGACAATCTGATTGCTCTAATGAAGATACAATGTAACTGTGCTTGCCTTTACTCAATGATTAACTTCTTATACCAGAGGTATCCATGTGGCATCTTGCAAACTCTAACAAGCCACCAAACACTTGTTCCATATACCATTTTAAACATTAGAAAAATGTACCAGGGGTCAGCTTGATGGTACAGTCCTTGCCTAGCTTGTGCAGAGCCCTGAGTTCAATCCACAGTACAGGAAAAAAAACAAAAGACTTGGCACACACTGAGCCCTCACTCCTATTCCGCCCACCAAACCATGGAGCTGAGTGGTGGCTGCCTTTTCAGAAGTGGCTCACGCTCTTCATCCCAGTCCTCACTGACTAGTTCACTGCTCAGCCTCATAGGCAAATGAATATACCATCCCACTCTATATAACTTTCTTACTGCTCCCAACTCTGGCATACTTGTTTCTTTTCCTCTAATTTCTTTTTTTTCTCTAATCTATACCCACATTACTGCCTCAGACTACAGACAAAAGATCGATATCTATTTAAATCCACCGAACTGTCTACTGAGAATATTAGTATCAAACGCTGAGAAATTATTGGTAACACTAGTTTCATCCATCACCTTTCAGCAAAGCTGTCTCTGCATGCCACTATTTAACAGTCTACTTTATCTAACTCAGACACTGAGAGTCAGATCAGAAGCTGTGACACTTTCATGATTTAACCTTTAGCTCCACTCTGTTTCCAATTTTTGCATTAGAATACTATGTTGTGCATGTTGTGTTAGATTCTATAGGGCTACAGCAGTCACATGACTTGGTTAAAGACAATTATTGCCTGTGGCTTCAGCTTCAGGCAACTAACCAAATATGCTTTAAAATCTATTTGTTCCTACATAAATCTGACCACTTTGCCCTGAAATAATACTATCATTCACTTCAGCAGGCTTTACTTTTCATTACTCACTTACATAGTGGCAGCTGGATCCCTCACCTGAAAACTGTCGAAAATTCATTTCTTTGCATACAGCTCCTCTCACCTACTCACTAGAATTTACCACCTGAGAATCATGGGATTTGTAAGTTCCCCTCCCCCAACCCTTGAAGCCTCCACCTCACTTTAGCTGTTAACAGTTTACTACAATATTAAAAGTAACAACGTGAGCTCTTTTCCTCTGAACCCAAAAAGGTCTAAAACTGAACAGAAATGAAAATGAAATGGAGAGTAGGAGACGTACCGCAGATTGAAACCTCGGTTGCTCTTCCTGAAATAAGAGAGAAAAGAAATAGAAAATATAGAAGTTATTTTTACACATCTCATCCAGTAAGAAAGAAAATGCCGGCGGCGGAGGAAGCGCGGGTGGGGAGTCAGCCCGACACCCCTCCCTCTCCTCTACCCCAGCAGGCGGGATCCGATAGCCAGGTAGGGGTCCCGAGCGCCGCCCCTCCTCCCGGGATCCGACCCCGGCCTGAAGAGGTTCGGAGCGACATTTCCTGCCCTCGGATCCAGCTTGGGCATGGGGCACTCCCAGGCCCTCTCCGTCCTCCCACACCCCCAGGATCCGCGGGTCCCGGAGGAGGGGATTGCAGACCCCAGGGGCAACTCTAAGCGCCGGCCCTTTTCCAACAATCCGGACAATGAGATCCCGGGCGGACTTCATCCCAGTCCCCATATCCTGAGCAGGGCAGGGCGGAGCGGGAGGGCCGCAGCACCCTCCTCCACGGGAGATGAGGGTCCCGGAGGTCGTGCGTCTGCATCCCACCTCCAGCCCCAGGAGGCCGCCCCAGCCAGGAGCCCAGAGGGGAGCAAGCACGGACCGCGTCGCTGGCGGTCCCAGCCCTGGGGGAAGGAGGAGGCGGCGGCCGCCCGGCCCCCTCCCGCCGTCGCCCGGCTGAGAACCCCGGCCGCTGCCCCGGCCTGACAACCCGCACGGGAAGCAAGCCCCAGGACTCACGTCGCTCTCCACCTCGATGTCATCGTTATCGCTCATTTCCTACGGCCCAGGGAGCGGCCACTGCAGCGGCGGCGGGGAGGGGGAGGGGCGGAGGGGAGGGGGAAGTCACCGACAACAACAAGCCGAATGGCCCCACACACTCACTCACACACTCACTCACTCGCTCTCTCACTCACACTCACACACATACACACATACACACACGACACAAGCGAGAACCACCTCCTCACTGCAGCACTGGATCAACGGCGGCACGCACACCCGGTCGGCCCCCTGACACGTGACCGGGCCAGCCGCGCAGGGGCAGCCGAGACTTGTAGTCCTTGTCCCTCTGGCAGGTGGCTCGATGACCACCGGGAAAACTACATACCCCATAAGGCTCCGCACCCAGTCACCGGCGCCCTAGCTTGTTGACGGAACTTGGAGCGCCTGCGCAACGAGGAGGGGGCGGGGGAAGGTGCCGCAATGCTTGCTGGGAGGCGTAGTCCGAAGATCGCGAGTTGTCAGGAGGTTGCCTACAAGACGAGGCAGAAAGGCTGCCGGGAAGACAGGACACGTGGAGGGAGCTGGGCTCCTGGACCCGGCCACCAGCTAAGCTCTGGGCGTCCGGCCCAGGGGACTGGGTGGAGGCTTTGCGGGGCGGAGGGGAAAGCTGGCTGCCTAAATAACGCTCTTTGCTTGGCGCGACTGGTTTTATTTTGTCTTGGTGCCTGAATCGCTAGGCTTGCACCCTGGGGCGTAACCGTCATCCGGTGCAGCCCGGCCCGGAGGGGGATGGCTCGGGACTCCCACGTGGCCCCTGTGGGTGTGGTCGCGAGGTGTCTGTAGCAGGTGGAGGTGCGTCACTGGATAGGCTGGAGGACCGATCTTGTGTGGAGTACCTTCGTTTATCCCGGAGTGGCAGTCCTCACTGCTCAGTCGCCCACGTGAGACTCAAGTATTCGCAAAACATCAATTACAGTACATGCAAGTAGAATCCCCTTCTGAGTTTGTTGTAGCCCAGGCACTTTAGGGAGTGCTCCAGTTCAGAGAACCATAATTAGGAATTGGCAGGAAAAAAAAAAGGGAAACTCATGCAGTTCCTAGGCGATTAAAATCATATTTATATAAAGTGGCACGAGGTGTAATCACATCCATTTCACCAGAATTTGGGGAATGCCATGATATATAAGACTGGGGTGGTCCCTGCCTTCCTGCAGCTTGCTGCTTTGGAAGCTAAGGAGAGACTGTTCTGCCGCCATTTTAAAAGTGCATTAAAACCAAACAAGTTGTGGCAGAAGCGTATCCCAGCACTCTGGGAGGCTGAGGCAGGAGGATTGCAAATTCGAGGCCAGCCAGACAATCTAGTGATTCAGCAACACTCTAACTCAGGGAAAAGCAACAACAAAAACAAAAATCCCAACCATTTTATCCCTGACTTTTGCATGTGGGAATTTTGCATTATAACACATACAACCTTTGTGACGTATCCTTGTGTGAGCCTATAGTTCTTGCTGAAGAGATAATTGTAAATGTTGTAAACTGTCCTTTAAATATCTGTTGTAGCCAGCCATAGTGTCGCACGCCTATGATCCCAGCACTCAGGAGGGAGGCTGAGACAGAAGGATTGCTGCTCTGAGTTCCAGGCCAGCCTGGGCTACTTAGTGAGACACTGTCTCAAAAAAACTAAGAGTGCAGGGGATTTAGCTCAGTGGTGCCACCGCCTGCCTCGAAAGCGCAAGATCCTGAGTTTGATCCCCAGTACAAAAAAACCTCAAAAGAGAAAGAATGAAAGAAAAAAGCACTATAGGGCAACATTAGCTACAAGTTAAATTCACCCAGGACAGTAATGGTGAATCTATGGCCCAAAGTGCTGCATTGGGCACACAGAGCCCTCTCTGCCAGCTCATGAGCCAGGTTGCCCCAGCAGCCAAGCATTAGATAACAGTTGTTTTTTTCTAAACTGAAATCTCAGTATTCAGGGTTACTTGCAGTGCTGGCGCTTTTTGATAAATAAGTGGGTTTTAGGTTGCAGTTCGGGCACTCAGATTCTAAATTAAGGTTCACCATCACTGACCTAAGAGCTTAAAAAATTCCCATCCCCAGGCTACACCCCAGGCCAATTAAATCTGGACCTCTGAGGGTTTGGACCAAACAGAAACTGCTTAAAGCATCTCAGGTGAATCCCATGTGGACCCAAGACTGAGAACTAAAGGCCAAGATAAATAAGATAGTCTTTCACTGAATTGTATAATTTAAGAGTGGCTTTTATGGTATGTCAATAATTATATTTCAATAAAACTGTTATAAAAGGAAAATAAAATAATCTTTGCTCATGCAGAATCTAAAACCTGTAGACAAGGTAAGCATCAAATAGGTTGTACACCTGGGCATGGTGACACATGCCTGTAACCCCAGCACTTGGGAAGCTGAGGCAAGAGGACCACTGCAAGTTCAAGGCCAGCCTGGGCTACATAGTGAGACCCTGTGTCGAAAAAAAAAAGGTTGTACAGCGGTGGGTGAAAGCGCCCAGAGGAGGGGGTGTTGATCAAGGGTGTTGAGGTGTCCAGCCCTACCATATCCTGGGCTGGGGCCTCACAGACCAGGCCAGAATTCGCTCACCGTGAGTCGCCTGATGTGCTCAGGAAGTCTGCACTGTGGGCTGAGAGGAGCAAGAAAGGCTTCCCCAGTGGGTGGCTCTTCCCAGTGATGGATGGATATAAAAACCTGTCAGTTTGGTAAATGAATCTGACCTAACAGACCAAACACTATACCTAAGGATTGTAAAATACATTATTTTCAGGTGCTCATGGAACATTTTCAAGAATTGACCATGTTTCAAATCATAAAACAAATCTCCACAAGTTTCAGGGGACTGTGACTTTAGAGAATGTGTTGTTGGACCTAATGAAGTTAAAGAAGAAATACTAACAGCTGAGTAGAAGTAGGGGCCCTGTAATCCTAGTGCTCTGGGAGGCAGAGGAAGGGGGATCACAAGTGCAGGCCCAGCCTGGGCAAGTTAGTGAGAGCCTGTTTAAAAAAAAATAAAGGCTGTGAATGTGGCTCAGTGCAAACCCTGGATTCAAGTCCCAGCCTTGTGTGTGGGGCGGAGCTAACTACAAGGCTTAGGACGTACATCAGTTGTACAGTACTTATCTAACATGTATAACACTCTGGGTTCAATACCCAGTACTGCAAACACAGAAAGCTAACTAGAAAGAAAGAAAGAAAGCTAACTGGAGAAGTTTTGTAAGCTTGGAATGTTTTGTTTCTTTGGTACTGGGGATCAAACTCGGGTCCTTCCACTTGCATAGCAGGCGTCAGCACCACTGAGCTAAATCCCTGGCCCTGTAAGCTTGGAATGTTGAAGAAGCTTTTTTTTTTGATTTTGTTTTGTTGTACTTTGTTTTGTGTTTTGTTTTTTGAGACAGGATCTCACTATATAGTTCAGGCTGGCCTCGAATTCCTGGTGATTCTCATGACTCAGCCTCTGGAGTGCTGGGATTATAGGTGTGCACAACTGCACCCAGGTAAGAGGCACTTTTAAATGACTTAGAGAGACTTTTGTGATCAAGGCAGTAGACAGAAAAGCAGCAGGTGTACCAGCACAGAAGTGTCCTTTAGTTTCCACTGTGTGCTTTTTGGACATGAATGACAATCTAAGAATTCATCTTTCCACATGTGTGTGTCCTTGGTAAAGCCCTATGGGAACTGATTAGGACCAGACCTGTCAGACCCCTGCCGCTGCAGGTCAGGTCCAGCGGTGACATCATCAGGAAGCTTTTGGAAATGCAAAGTCTCTCCCCTAATATTTGGAATCTGAGGAAGTGGAAGGGAGACTATTATTAGACAAGGGGAGGGGAACAGGGAAGGGCCTAAGGGAAGGGGAGGGGGGGAAATTATTATATTATCAAGCAATCATGATCTTGACACAAATTCAGTGAGGTGGAAATACGCTCTCTACACTGTTAAGTGAAACAGTTATATATGACATCGCCAGTTTTTTTTCAAAAATGCATTAATGCATAGAGACATCAAGAACTTGTCTAGAGCAGTGTTCACTTAATTGTTTCAATCTGTTTCACACTTTTGTTTTGTTATTTGTTGTTTTTTGAGACAAGGTCTCCCTGTGTAGTCCAGACTGGCCTGGAACTCACAATGATCCTCTTGTCTCAGCCTCCTGAGTGCTGGGATTACAGGTGTACACAGCCACACCCAGCTTAGCTTTTCCTTATTATTGCTACTAAATAAATTTTACAGGGAAAACAAAAAGATGAAAGGAGAAAGAAGTGCCAAGTTGCCAGGCATGGTGACACGTTGCCTGTGATCCTAGCATTTGGCAGGCTGAGGCAGGAAGATCCCCAACTGGGCTATATAGTGAGTTCAAGACTAGCCTGAACTATGTAGCAAGACCCTGTCTCAAAACAAACAAACAGAAATGCAAAGCCTCCGTCCCCGTCCCAGACCTACTAAATCAGATCTGCATTTTTAGCCCATTTAGAGCCTCATTAGTGTTTGAGATGCTCATTTGAGGGAGGAGGGGGCTTCAAATGGAGTGGGCTCCTTGCTCTCTCTGATTTTGTTACATTCGGTTTTCATTCTACCCCTTGACTAAAATTAGTTCAGACAACTTAGCTACTTCTTCATAGCTTAATACCTTGTATCATTTGATCTGTCCATGACCTTGTACAGTGTTTACCAATCCTCTTTTTTGATTGAGACCAGTCTTGCTATGTTACTCATAGCAAGAACTACTAGACTTAGGTGATCCTCCCGCCTCAGCCTCCTGAGTACCTGAAACTACAGGAGTGTGCCACTGTGCCGAGCCCACTCCTTTTTTATTTTTGTTTTTGTTTTATTGAGACAGGGTCTCGCTCTGTAGTTCAGGGTGGCCTTGAACTCACTATGTGGCCAAGGCTGGCCTCAAACTCAGCTATCCTCCTGCCTCACCTCCCAAGCGCTGGGATTACAGGGGTGTACTACCACACCCGGCCATCACTCCTCTTTCTTGAAGGCCAAGAACCCTTGTGCTTTCCTCCTGTCTCCTAGACTGCCCCTTCTCCATGCCTGGTCTGGTTCCCCTGGCCTGGGCAGTGTGAGTTCCAGTGCTCCGGGGTTGGCCTTAGACTCTTCTTCCCTCCTCTTCCACTCTGCCTGGTGGGATCCTTACCTGCTGAGGCACTGCTGACCCCCTCTCTGCTGGTAACCCAGAACTAC